CATTTGTTTTTTACAAAGGAAGAAAACTGCTAGTAGTCAGTATGAAACGCAGAACAAAAGATGATTTTCAGTTAGAACACATGCAAAAATTCCCAAGTGTCCTACTCTTACCATAGATTAACTAACTAGGTTACAGTGGTGCTCTACCAAAAAGCATTTGTTGCCACGTTATTAAGAGTAACTACTTTAACATTGATACCAATATGCTGCTTGCAGCTAAGGTACAGTGCTTTGGTTTTTTTAACCAGTGAGATACAGTAACACACACTATTAAAAGTTGTGAGCTTCAGTGCAACATAACAGAGAGTCAGAAGGAACTGGCCAAACTGAAACCAGAACCTTTAACTATCAGTTCTCGCAGCCTGTGGAGAACAGGCAGGTTCCTCTCCAGCAGCAAAGAGCAAAAATTGTACTTTCAAAACAGGCTGGGGGACTGGGAACCTTTGGAGTCCTTTCTGATGTCTTCCAGGTGTGGTGCTGGTGACTGGAAAAGCCAAACAAGTGGGTGGCTGGCCTATGAGTGAGCTGTGTGAAGCCATTCCAGTTTTTCTGACTAGCTAGCTGGCATGACGGATAAAAATGGAAAGGCAGAAACTCACTGCCCTGCAGAGCTTTTGATGCTGTCCCAAATGGCATGGCCAGCTGAAAGTAAGTCAGCATAAAAAAAGTAATTAAATGACTGAGCAGCATTGTCTCAACAAGGTGTTTTTCTCCAAGTGTGTTCAAACATGGCAGCATTTTCTTTTGCAGCCAGGACAAAGTCTGTTTTCTGACAGCAAGTATTTAAAGCTTTTAACTAAAGTAAACGGTGTTTCAAGTTACTTAGTGCATAAGAAAAGCAAGACCTGGGGAAAAAACCCTATGAAGGGGAAACACCAAAAGCAAACATATGAAGAGTATCAAATGCAGAAATTATGATATATATTCCTGACAGTATGAATATTAAATGGAATTTATAACAGTGCTGAGAAAAATGTTCAAATTTTAACATAAATCCAAATTAATTTGAAACAGAAATATTGCCACTGAAGTAGAAAGAAAACACAAGACTATGTTCTTTAGTAACTGCAGGAATTCCAAAGTGCTGTTAAAAGTATGCTCTAAGTACTATCCTAATCTGCTTTAAACACCAGGAACAATAGTCATGCTTAGAAAAACCTCCTGCCAGTGAATACCATGCACCTAAGCTGATTTTGAAAACCAAGAATACAAGTTTAGGCTTCAGACACCTTTTTCAAAAGTCCAGACATGGAGAAAAATTCAAAATGCAGGTGAGATTTGTAACAGCTTAACCCTGCTATGAATTGCTGAAGTGAAAACACAAGGTAAAACCAAGCCTCTGAAGTTCTATGCACCTGAAAACAGGTGCCCGGATCCTCGCAGGGTGGGTGTGCCCTAGCGAGCTCAGAGCAGGGCAGAAGCTGACCCACAGGAAGGCTCCCCACACGAGTTTAAGGTTTTTATACTGCACATCACAGGATTGACAACTCACAGTAAACAAAGTTATCTGAACCTGACCAAACTTCAGTTAAGCTCCAGTATGCAGCAATACAACTTAAACTGTGAATTCACTCGAATGCTTGACAGTTGGTGTTATTGTTCACCTCGGACATTTTACACAGAGCTAGACTGCCAGAAGAATCTCCTCACTATCTGTCTTTTTGACACATGGCTGTCAGTATTTTCCCAATGTTGATCAGTTACTACTGTAAGGAGAACTCCTCCGTGGTGCAGCCGAGGCCGGGTCCCCTCTCCTGGACAGAGGATGTACTGCAGTGATTTCAGGTTTCCAGGCGGTTTTTGGCAGAGCTACAGAGGAGCTATCTGTGCTGGTGCTTTACACACCTACAACATTAACAGTTTCACAGTAGCCACACACACACGACAACACCAGGCAGCTACAGTTACGTTACAAATCAGAACAGTCTGTCTATGCTAGCGTTAGGTCTGCGAGCCCACTGCTGACACCGACTGGCTGCAGCTCGACTACAACTTAAACCAGTTCCATAAAAGTATCCCAAAGCAGCTTTAACCCCATTTGCAACATACTGGAAAGGAGGATACACTGACATCAAATGACAGCATGTTGGAAACAGTAACACCTCCCAACAGATTCTAGTGCTAACACCATGTTTAAAAAACTTTTTTTTGGTCGCGTGTATGGCAGCTACAGGCAGTTACAAAGGAAAGATAACCCCTTGTCTCACTGGGAAGCAGACATTCAACCCTACAGAATATTCCTCATGCCATAAATACAACTTTACAAGAGGCTCCCCCATGCTTATGATGCCTGCGTTGGCTACCTAACATTTGCTGCAGTCACTTATAGGCAATTTGTGAAACACAAACTTCTTTGCTTCCATGTGCAAGAAGGGGTTGATCTGTCCAGTGGAAACAAGACCATTCACCAGGGATTCTCCCAAACTAACGCCCAAGTAGATGCTACTTTCACTTCTAATTCTTTGCTTCTCCAAAAGGAATGCTGGATTTGCATTTCCCAAAGAGGATTTCACACATTTAGGACTGGACTTGTGGCAGGCTGCAGCTAGCAGGAGGATCTGTCTGCACAAAGATAGGAGGACATCGCTGGTACCACCCAGGCAAAGCACAACAGGAGAAGCCAGCTCACCTACTGTAAAAAAGGGAGACCTGCAAAATCTTAGCTTCAATTATTGATTTCTCCCTAGGTGTCAGGAGTTGAAAGAGTGACATTTTTGAAAGTTAAAGGTTCTTAGGCTATAAAAGAATTTGAATAATCATCCAATCAACTTCAGGTAACTCTTTAAACTGGCTTGTGAGTGGTTTAGATCAAGTAGCCAGTGGTGTCACTTCTCTTGAGAACACAGTACCTTTCCTAGCACATACCCTGCTTTTCCAGAGACCTGCTGTTTGTTTGTAAACAATAGTTATCTAAAAACCACAGCATGGAATTTAACAACTTTTAGGATGCAGACGGTTACAAGTTTATAAAAAAATAGTAACTTGTCTCATAAGATTTTAGAAGCTAATACGATTTGAACTTCATAACTGAAAAAAAAAAGAGTGGCAGATTTACCTAACATAATAGACTTTTGGGTATGTAAAACATTTTTTACATAGATTTAGCTATTACTTTGTTCTCTCTATTTACATACAATAATTAAGATGAGGTGTATAAGGCTAATGAATATGGAACTTATAAATGGCTTCTGCTTTACAGTTCATTACACTCTAATCACATTTTCAGACAGCTATAAATTCACTGGTAATCAGTAGTATTTAAGTTTAGTACATACACTTTCTACAATGAATACCACCAAGTTAAAAACGGTCTCCAAAGAGGATTACAATTGAAGGTTTTAAAAATACTGACTCTGCCAAGGTTTCAATAAATTATTTTAAAATATAAATAGTTCATTCACTGTTAATGCAAATGCCATTTGATAGATTACGAAAACCAGTTTCATTTTACAAAACCTAGAAACATAGCCTACTTTACCCAACAACACAAAAAAAAGGGCTGGGGAAGTTCTGACAAAAGCAGCAACGTTCCAAGTTCAGACCAAAGCTCTCAATTTCTCTTACCATCTTGTCTTACACAGCACACATTCAGCATAAATTCTCCTCCTAATTGGAAGATCACTAACTAAGTCAACTGGACTTTGCTGAATTACTTGGTGACAAATTTTAGGCCTCAACTCACAGCCTTGCAGGCTTAAAATATCTACAACAAAAAAAATATAAGGAAGCAGATTTTCACTTCTGTTAATGAAGGTGTTTTCACCTGAGAAGCTTTTAACCTGAGGAGCTTCAGATATGCCAAACAGACAGTTTCCATGTAGCATTCTGCATGTTCTTAACCTTTACTATCAGTATAGGCCAGGAATCTTTTCCTCGTCCTGCATTCCTATAGGAAATGAAGTTTCAGGTCCAACATGGTATCTTTGACTCCCCTAGAACCAGTCAGAAAACAAATGCTTCCATGCTTTTTTTCATTATGAAATTACACACATCAATGCCAGAACTTGCCAGAACTCTGCAAATTTAGCTCTTAACCTCCACACTTAAAACTGGAACAGTTAACAGACTGACTTACTATTGACCATTTCCAGGCAGTTACAAAAACCAAACACATTTTTCAGTCATCATGATTTCTTTAAAACCCTCCTCCAAACAGCTAGAAAAGACAGATCTTTTGTCCAAGTTTTCCTCAAAAAGCCCCCTCAAGAACTACAATGTTGCTATTTACAAAAACTAGAATTAGTCTGTCACTAAAGGGAAGCAAAGTCAGTCACAGGGTCATTCAGTGCAAGCCTTGGTACAATTACTGTGGGCACTCAACACTTCAGGAGTACTCTATGGCTTAATATGCCACTAACTAGAAAAGGTTATTTGCTAACAGAACATTTCCAGAAACCTTTAGTCCAAAAGCATTTTTCTTGCCAAACAGCCTCCCAAGAGCTCTCAGATCCTCTGCTCCACTCCCCCAGCCAAGCCCATCAGATAGGCACTGCACAAGCAGTTGCACAGGGAAGTACTTCTCTTGCTCCCAAAAGAGATGGCAGCCAGGAGCAGGCTGTTGTCAGAAAATCAGCTCACATCCTACTCAGTCTGGTTTCCTGCTCTGGAACTGTTCTGGGGAAGAGGGCAGGTGGACACAGGCCAAACTCCCAACATTCCCCTTTTCAGGAATGTCAAATGTTTTGCATACTACAGTGTGTACGTGCAGATCTGATTCCACAGCAAGAAAGGGCTGTGGCATCTGTTTCTTTCCCGCCATCTGAGTGACTAACTCCTCCAGCTAGAAGGGAAGGCTGGGCATCACCAACATCTAAAAGGCAACACAGTTGTGGTGATTCAGCCGTGACAGCTTGCACGAACATCAAAGCATGGCCTTCTCCCCAGCTCTGCTTCACTCACAGCTATCAGCCTTGCAGCATAAGCCTCCATCCAGACGAGGTGTTCAGTGTTTTTCATGAGCTGAAGTTCATGGCTGGATTGGGTGCTGAGTTCCACAAGCTCTACACATCTTCATCTGTCTGTTCTCTGCCCTGCTCTGGCTCAGAGGTGCTGGAGGCGTCGTCGTCGCTCTGCTCCCCCGCGTGGCACAGCATCAGCGCGCGCGTCTTGTGCGTGATGGTGACCGTGCAGGGCCCCTGCGCCCAGGGCTCCCCGTCCACCTGCATGGGCATCTGCGAGCTCTTCAGGATCAGCTGCCGACAGAACACACCACAGCAGTTCAAACAGCTCTGAAGATACCTTCTACAACTACAGCATACTGGTGCTGCACGATTTCAGCTTGGCCAGGGAGAAGCTTAGTGTATAATTAATTGCACTCAGGCCACCAACCGCAGCAACAGAGGGCTGTGAATTATTACACAATTCATTGTTACTACACAGGAGAAGTATCTAGCTCAACCACAACCACCACAGAAGTATCTAGCTCACCCACAGGCTGCAACTTCAGACAGGTGAGTGCTTGAAATTCTATCCTGTGTATTAACTCCCTCCCCCCTCCTTTAGGGGCAGAGGTACATAAACAGCACTTACCCTCACTGTGTGTGCCTGGCCTAGGCGGACAGGATTGGCCAGTTTCACCTGAATCTGGGCACAGTGGAAGGAACCGTGGACGCCAACAACTTCCAGAAGTCCATCATCATGTCTATGATTCAGAAAGGAGATTCTCTTTAGTGATGCTCATGAGCATTAGAATACCTGTCCAAATATTCCACAGTTCTTTTATGGCTCTTCCTATAGAAAAGACAGATGTTACTCTACAAATATGTTTAAACTATCTATTTGTGCTGGACAACAAACCCCTCTGAACAGCAAAGGAAGCCATACAAAACAGTGAGCACAGAGCAATACACCAGCTGGTACACCCTACCTAGCTTCTGGAAATGATATGATTTTCCAAGGCACATCAAGCATATTTAAGGCCCACAGTGAATTTCTCTTCCATAAATTTGTAAAATTTTCTGTCTTTTCACTCAGTTATTCACCTACAAGAAAATCTTTTATTGGTCTAATTATTTAGATTTTGGCAAAGGACCTTGCCCAAACATTTTTTAGAAATCTAGGATTGTAAGCCTTGTAACAGAACTAGGACATCTATTTGTATATATGGCTTCTGAAGAAGGAAGACACAAGAGGGAGTAACTAATGTACCCACCTATTCTCTTCTTTAATATTGCTCCAGCCAACTTACTCAAGCACGGGAGTTAAGTTTTTGGCTTGCTTTATTTTTGCTTTTATAATATAACCTCTGTTAAAGACTTTTATATTCTGATGTATCATCTACTTTTGAAGGCTCCATTTATTTTTAACAGGCTTTTCAATGCTATTGCTTAATCGTGCCAGACATTCTCAGAAGGTGCTAAGAAAAACTTGATGTGTGAGATGCACTTAGTCTGAGTCTCTAACGCAAGTAAGTAAACAACCCAAGACTGTCACAAGGAATCCTTCTGATTTTCACACAAGTCTGGCTACATTAAGCACAGCCTACTGGAGGGAACTGCTTATACTACAAGAACTGCTACAGGAAAAAAAATATTAACTCTGCACCTTGCCAAAGGGTAAGGCTCATCACCCATTCCTTCCCAGAGCCTGCAGCCACCTCCCCAGTATCCAATATTCAGGACAATGATGCCTTCCAAATTGGGCAACTCGATTCTCTCACCATCCAACTCTAGCTTTAGAAGACAAACAGAACTTAATTACTGTGGATCAAAATCAGAATTCAATATAAGCTAGTTATTCTCTTTATGCATTTCACAGGCTTCTGCTTGAAGAAAAACTTGCCCTGTACAAATAGGGGCAAATGTGTTTTCTTTTCATACTTTAAAAAAAATTATTTCTGATTTCACAAGGTATCTTAATCTGTAACAAATTTCTGTACATAGAAATAAAGAAAAAAGGAACTCTCACTTATGTAAGTCTCTGATGTTAAGGCAAATTTTGGCTGAATATCAGTATTTGAACTCATAGAACTGAGTCAAGGCCAGGAAAAAAAGAAGAAAGAATTTTCAGGAAGCTCAAAGACATGAATTACATGAAGTAAGCTGCAGATTGCAAAAGGAACATCAAAAATACTCCAAGTGTAGAGCCATCCGTATACAAATATCACTCGGATGTAAACTGCAAGGCTCTTCCCCTTTTCTGTCACAAGGCAAGCTTCCACACTCCACTGATTATCCAGACAATCAAGCAAGTTAAAAAACTTACCTCCACCTTTTTGTTAAGATCTTTACATTCTTGTACTAAGCAGTCTTTGGTTCCATAAAAAAAATAAACAGCCTAAAAAAAAACCAAAACAGAACAGGGAGAATGGCAAACACTGCTAGAAAAAGACAATATATCAAGTAGAGGAGTAAAGCAATGTAAGGCAAAAAATAGCCTTACCTCAACAACTGTAAGGGGAAAATGTCACCTTAACAAACGCACCTTATTAATAATTCTGCTGGAAAAGAGAGAAGGAGTCTTCTCACGATGAGCATGAAAATTTAAAGCCATGAGAGCATCAGGTCCTATGGAAAAGTAGTTGTTCATTGTGAATACCTGTAACACAGAACTTATCGTTATGGTCTTATTAAGTAACATTATTAGGGTTTAAAAGTCACAGAGTTTATGGGAAGTAGGTAAATAGAAAAATAAGTATAAACATACAGGTTTTCCACTGAATCCATATTTATAGGTGCAAACCATACCTTTGGTTTCCTTAAGTTGTAATATCCTTTGTTTGTTACTTGAACCTTCCACCTGAAAAACAACAGCCATTACTTAGCCTCATGGCAGACTGCTCTCATATCAAAGGTGTAGTTAGAAATCTCATGTCTATACCAGGACTAAGCCAAAAGATACAAATTCAGGTAAATTATGAAAGAGTTAAGCTTTGTAGAACAACTAAAGACTAATTTTGGGCTGCAGTTATTTTGCATTTGCCTCCAGCCATATTTGTATTTCTTTAACACAAGTTAGAGTTGTTTACAGTTCTGCTGTAACTGCGTGTCAGTAGAGCTACAGGAGGATTTGGTTCTACAGAATTTACCTTCTCACTTACCTGTCCAGTTTGATTCCATCTGCCTCCATGACATTTCGTAAGATTTGTTCCACAGGGACTTCTCCAGCATACCCTGCACCCCAGCCCAGTGTATTAGACAAGTCATTGCCTGTTCCCAGAGGTAAAATTGCAACTTGTGGAATATAACGTTCTTGCCCCTAGGATACAAAACCCATAGGTATTAGCTCCCCTTTCAGCACTCATTTTCTCTCTTTTATCCCCAGATGTTCAGGGAAGGTAAGTATCATCTGCAGTGCAGAGCAATGGAGGTGGCAGCCTTAGCCATGGCAGGTGGCACATGTAAGCACTTATTGTGGGGATGGTGCAAAGGAAGGAGGTGCTAAACCACTGTGAGAAGAAAAGCAAATACAAGCACAATGTGGAAATCATACATTACTAACAGTGAACAGAACACTCCTCCAGAAGAATGATGCTTTGGACCTAGAAGTGGAAGCCTGAAGTTCTCATCTGATCTGCTGACTTGCTGCAGCTATGGTAAGTTACTGTTACTGCACACGCATCTGGGAAGTGATATGAATGCTAAGAGAGACGTAACACACGAGGTTGTGAACCACAGGAAGACACCAAAATGCTCTTACAAGACGTGAGTGAGGTTAGGTCTAAAACAACAGAAGCACATAATACTAAATTATTCAACCACAGACAGAAATTCACACACTCAGAGAAGGAAAGTCAGTGTCTAAATTTCAGAGATGCCACCTACACACAGAGAGCCAACTGTCATCAACAGATGGAGCAGATGATAATCACCTCTGCAGACCACACAGTGACAGAAGCACACATTCAAAATGGCCACTTTAGCAAAGGTTGTTGCTCTCTTTCCACAGGAGAGTAAACAGTTATTTCAGATGCACTATGACCTTAGAAATTCAGCTGTGAAAAGTATGTGCAGTAAATGGAATCATGGTTACTGTTTTTTCAGGAAGAGTTATCAGCCAGGTAACCTGTATTTGAGAGTCAAGATAAATGGAGCAAATAACCTACGGCTGATAATGAAAAGGTTTTGCTGATAATCTCAACTGGAGTGTTTATGTAACTCCAGGGACTCAGTTTGAGTTCTGGGAAACAAAGAAAAACCCAGATTTCATGAACTATATTGGCTCTAAAAGGCAATATATCAAGTATCCAAGACCAAGTAACAATATGGTCATATTCATTAACCTTTATCGTTACACTTAATTGCATTTCTACTTTATCAGTACATAAAAATTCTCAACCACTAGAGAAAAAGTCTATTAGGAAAACCACTAAAGCCCTAGTAATTATTCTTCATTCTTAATTTTCTCAGGAGTTCTTAGCAGAATCCTGTAAATTGGAATATCTTCCATTTCAAATTAACAGTAGACATACAGGTTATTTTCCTCCTCTACTTGCTGTTAGTAGGTGAAGCTGCAGACTGGTAAGATTCTTTAGAATATGAGATAAGGAGCAGAAGCAAGTTACTGCACCAATACATCCACTGGCAATATAACCAGCATAGCCAGCAAAATTATGAGGCTATTGTAAAATACTGAGTGCACTGGGAGAAATAAGCAGTCAGAGCACATTAGCCATTATTAGCAATGCCATTTATGACAAAATAAATCTGTTGAGACAAGAGAAAAGAACAACACATAAAACATTCTGCAGCTTGTTATTTTCTTGTTTTACAGAAAAGAATGACTGTAAATAGAATTTAAAATCTAAAGTTTTCCCTGAACTACAGGGATCCTTAACAAGATACTTTCCAACCCCAGTACGAATAAACAATTCTGCAAATATTTCTCTGTAGACTTGCTCAGGAAGAGGAAAACAATAAATGCAGGTAAGAGATCAGGTGTACCACTTCAGCAGCTCCAAAACTCATTTCACTGTAAGATATCTTTTAATTTAAAACAAGTACCTTTATCTTCATTTCATCAATTGCATCCAGGACCCAGCCTACTGTGCCATCCCCACCACAGACCAGAACCCTGACAGCATTGCAAGGCAGCAAGGTGCAAAGTTGGAGTGCTTTAGCAGGTGCAATTTTGCTTAGATCAAAGACCTAGAAGAAAGGAAAAGGAGCTCCATAAGTTTACAGAACACGACTCAAAACTTGCCTCGCAGATGAATGAACTTTTTAAGGTTCATTCTAAATAAAGATGTCCCACTGGCATTATTACATTAGCAAATGAGCTGTCTTGACTTTTAGGAGCAGGATTTGGTTTCCCAAATTCACCACAGAGCTCCAGCTGCTTCACTAGGCATAAGCACCATTGATAAACTGAGCTGACAGAGTCCTAAGAACAGTGTTTCTAGAGCATTATGATGAATTCTGTGAAATGAAAGACTTCAGATAAAAGTTACTTTCAAATACTTAGCGTATACAGACATTTAGTCTTTAAAATCTTATTGGGATGTTTTTAAAACAAACACATGCTGATTTCTATTAGGCTGTATTCTAAGGCTGGGTTTTGAACTTTAAAGACAGAGTATTAAGGTGCAGCCAGGAAATCCAAGGAACAACTAACTGCCTTACGTCAACATCCTGTGGATTTTAAGGGGAAAGAGAGGACATGAAGCAGCAGCTGTAAACACTGACATTTTCACAAGTGCAGATTTAAACAAAGACAGGTTTCAAATGAATAGATGTAAATATTTCACTTTCTAAAACTGTGCACTATTTCTAGAGCCAGATACTTATCATTAACAGTCATTAACAGATTTTCTTCATGTATTACAATAAATAAAAAAACGAGACCAGTAGTAGAACAGTAACAAACTTGGGGGTGGGAGGAGCCTCTGCACCTTTGGACTCTATACAAAGCTATTCCTTCTGAAAGAACAAACTACATGAATGTTTCCTTATCTTCCACAAGATCCTACTGACATTGTGTAAGCAAAGTTATATTTATTCTTATTTAAACTTTTATTTTATTATAGTGGCTTTACACTGTAAAT